TAAATAAAATAAAAATATAAAACTGAAGGAATGCAGTTTGCATGTTAAAGTTACTTGTAAGAGGAAAATCCTTGGAAAGACATTCGATGGATGTTAAAGTGATGACTAGCAGAGGAAGGCCTCTCTTCCAAAGAACTCTGATTTGTCATCTCCAGTGGTGTGAGGAGATTCTTCCCTGCCTCGTCATGCTGAAACTGAAAGTTAAAGAAAGGCTACTCCAAGCTGCAGAAAGATTTGGGTCTTACAGTTCAGCAGGCATATCTTTTACAAGTATTTCAGAATTTGTATTCATGTCATGAGAAATATAAAGTCAAATTACGCTAGACATCCACTCAGGACACTGTGATTAGTCTATTATGGGCTTGTTTGTTGCTTTTTCACATGGACAAACTGAAGGAAATGGTTTAGGAAGTGCTATCAGCGTGAGTAACATCGGCTCTGCTTCATGAGAACAAAAAGCCCCAAACGAAGCAGAGAGCTGGATTCCAGTCTGTTCATGGGAGGGAAGGGTGGATTWCTTTTAAAGAAAGGATGAACAGACAAATGTCTTCATCTCTCCATTTTACATCTCAACAAAGAGGGGGAGAGTTTGTGTAGGTGTTCCCACATGATCTGAGGAGAGTCACAGCTTTCTGTGGCTGCAGAGGAGGATTGGTGGGCGGAAACGGTTAGACACCAAAAACTCATGTTCTGTAAAGTGACTTGTCTCCCTCTGTCCAACCAGATAAAGACCAAAAGGGGAAGTTCAGCATCCCTCGCCTGGACGTGGAGAACGGGCAGCTGGTTGTGGAGGCCAAYCAGACACTGCGGCTCAAGTGCAGGTGAGGTTTCAGCTGATGGGAACCAGGAATCAGCATCGTTTGTGTTTGCAAAGTGGAAACAAATCAAACGTGTCGTCATAAAACTCTTGTCTGACACCAGTAATTTGCATTTCAAAGTAATAATTTTCCCTTTTTTGTTCCTTAAACTCTTGAAAAGTTATTTTTTCTGTTAGGATACCCACATAGCAGACAGATGTGGGCCAGACCTGGTGTCAAGCTGGCACTGGCATGGTGAGTGGTTTGGCAATCGGATGTGGGCCAGGTCTGGCAAACATGGCAGTGTTTTTAAGAAGGCGTAACACAACTGGCCCAGTTGTGGTTTTGTTTAAGTGGTGCTGGCCCTTGAATGGGTCACCTCTGTAAAATGACATCTGGGCCACCAAAGGGCCATCGTTTTTTTTAGGTATCTGGGCCAAGTGCATTGTATGGGCCAGAACTGGGCCAGATAATTGTTTGCTATGTGGGTATCTTAGTGTTTTTTCCACTTTATTCAGACAACATATAAGGGGAAGTAGTGAAATTTGAGCTTTACGATAATTTAAAAAACGAAATGGGACTAAATGACTAAATAAAGTTTATTCAAGAATAAATTCTGGTAAAATTCCAGTTTGTGTAATCATGGAGATTCATAGATGCCTACATTAATTAGAGGTTATTTATTTAACAATAATGATAACTTTGTGATGCTAGAAGTTTTTAATATTTATAATTACAAGTCTTTGTCTTTGAATCTTCTCTGAAACATCTACATAATGCAMCTTTAGTTCCACCCCTTCAACTTCAAACACTGATTTTCTGATCCGATCTCTGTGACCTGTGTGGTCAGGGGTCGCTGGGAGCTGTCCTGGGCGTTTTCCACAGGCGTGGACCAGGAGCAGGTGAAAGTGGTTGAGTCGCGCTGTGGGAGGACCAGTCACCATTACTGCAGCCAGCTGCRTGTGAAAAACAGCCAGGCCCAACACACGGGCCAGTACCGGTGCCAGTACAAACACAGCACCAAGAAGCAGAGGCCCGTCTATGTGTATGTCACAGGTAAGACACAGAAAAACGTTGCTCAGATCATGTGTCTCCTGGTTTCTTTATGAGCCTTTCTTTATCTGTGTGTGTGTGTTTGTCTGTTAGAAAAATATCTCATGACCCACAGGATGGGTTTTAATGAACATCTACAAGTTATTAACTATTGGAACCAACTTGATWCCCAGTATGTCCTGATGCATCTCCGTAATCTAGGTAGAAAAAATCAAAAAGAAAAAATAAGTAGGTCCTCTGGATGGGGTCTTTTTTAGTGAAACGTTTCATCTCTCGTCCAAGAGACTTCTTCAGTCTGATGAGTTTCAGGTGAACTCAGCCTTATAAGCACTGCCTCCACCTGGACAAACAGGTTAGTCACATGCTAGAGGACCATCGCTTAACAATAGGCTTGATTAGCTCTAACAATAGGCCTAACAATTAGCCTATTGTTAGGCGATGGGCCTCTTTTGCATGTGACTAACCTGTTTGTCCATGTGGAGGCAGTGCTTATAAGGCTGAGTTCACCTGAAACTCATCAGACTGAAGAAGTCTCTTGGATGAGAGACGAAACGTTTCACTAAAGAAGAACCCATCCAGAGGACCTACTTATTTTTTTCTCTTTGATTAATTCCCAATAGTCGCCACAACTAATCAATCTTAAGAAACACAAAAATGGCTACAGATTAAAAAGCGAACAGATATTGACCTAAAGTTTAGTGTGGTAGTGCCTGAGATTATGTGAGATCTTTGTCCCAGACCATAGAACCAGTTAAAGTGTTACACAAGATGACGCTGCTGTATACTCCCCCTCTCCTCCTCAGCTTCTTCTTTCTCATCCCACCCCCACCCCCACCCACCCTGAGCTATTTATATAAAAACTTTTTTTTTTACTTTCATTTACGTGCTACCTCATGGCCAGGAATAGCCTGGCTGCTGAAAGGCTCAGAGCCGGGCAGAGTTTCCCAGGGCATCAGCCTTATCTGCTCCTCTCAGCCTTGCTTGAAGC